GAATTTAGAAAAAGACATTGCATGTGAACGAAGCCTAACCCTATCACGTACAAATCGTATTGGACCCGGACTTTCATTTTAGGACTACCATTCCTGTCACAATGGCGACTGTGCTAAGTTTCCAGCATTCTGAATCCAGAGACAACAGATCATGCGCTGTCAAACATACAGAATGTTACGCTAGGGTATGACAGACAACAAATAGACCAAACGTGTTTAACACATATCCAATGTTCGCAGTCTTTACCTGGACAAGAACGTGAACGGGGAAAGAGAGTCAACTATAAAGTCAACTCCAGTTGACACGGGGACTTTGTTCTCAACTCCCCGAATACTAAGACTGGGTTCCCATACCTAGACATGGGAAGGGTTTCTCTTGGAGATGGATCGATCGACATTTAGTACGATATGGTCTGGGAATGTTCCCTTAGAAACGACCTGGCTTTGCACATACATTTATATATTTTCTGTTAACGGAGTGATGATTGAGTCTGCGCCAGCCTATAAAAGACGGTCACGTTTTTATCACAGTCCGGAATGACATCCATGTCTATTGTGGTGTTACTTTTTTTAGTCCCGTGTAAACTTAAGACCATATATTTATATCGTTATAATACCTTTAAAATATTTAATGAACAGGTGATATTCAACCAGTGCAAAATGCAAATACTGATTCCGGGCAGCGACGGTCCATCGCCATATTACCTTCTTCTAGTTGAATATTTAGGGAAATATTTTGATCCTCAAAACTCAGTTCAATGTCGAGGTACTCTCTGGCCGCAGGCTGCGCTAGAAGTCCGTTACAAAACTATTATACACGTATCTCTCTCAAACTTTATATTCTGTACATCTATACTATTAAAGAAGCCCCTGGTATGAGAGGGTAATAGAACTTGAAGAATTTGTGCCACATCCGTAGGGTTTAGTTATTGCTATATAACCACCAATTTAAAAGGGTTTGTGAAATATCTGAAGCATTCAAAAAATGAATATATATTAGTTTTTTTGCCGTGCTTTTCAACACGAGTGTACCTCCGTGCCTGCACTGATCGCTAATTTTTTTAAAGCAACGTGAACATTTATATACATATTACCGACAACATAATATCATTTCAAATGTACATTGGTTGATATATTGTATAAATTGGTATTTAGCCGCAGAACATGAAAGTTACTTTTGAAAAAATTATCTCCTCAAGGTACAAAATGATGGCTGGTCCAGGATTGCGTTAAAGAAGACGAAGTAAAGGAAAACACAATGATCTAGGATAATGTTTAGGAAAGTAAAAAAGACATCACTGAATCAGGACTGTGTTAGAGAAGACACAGAAAGTCACAAACTCAAGATTCCTCTCTGTAGCAATGCATCTCTTGCAAATAGACCACATACTAGACCAGACTATTCGCATCCGTTCTGCAAACATAGCGATGCTTGTGTCTCTTCCCGCTTCCTTTAATCCAGCCTCCTCGGTTGTTTTAAACAGGTTCACAAGTTTGCGGCGACTGTGGCGTCCACGGCAACGCTTGTTCATCCTGCCCGCCACCCTTGAGTGACCTGGGCGTCCACTGTGCGTCCTTTTAGCTTCCTTTCATAGTCGCACAAAGGAGGAGGATTAATAACTTACATAATAACAATAAGATTTATTATTATTATTACGTTATTATTGTTGCAATTTTGTATATTGCTAGCATTTTAGAAGTCTCTGAAATCAGAGGGCAATCAATGCATTTCATTCAATTTCAAAGACCGTTGTCAAGATGTGTACAAATGATAACCTGAGGCTTATATCTAATATGACAACAAGAAATACTTTGAACATTTTGAACTAATAGATTTTTATTACTACTGTACTGGTATGTAAGCAATATGGCACAGCGAGCAGAACACACATGTATGTATAATTTTCATATTGAAACTTAAAAAAAGGATTACTACATATGTGCAAAAGTGTCACATTCCTTCACTTGTCCTTAAAACATTGTATAAAATTGACGAACGTCGTTTGCTTAATTTTTCCGAAAATAATTGGCTAAATGTGTAAAGTGGATAAAAGGTCTAATATAATAACAAACAAACCCTTGAAGAAAAAAGTCATTTATCACATTCCTTCGACTGAATAAGATGCGTCTCTATCATATACTTGGGTGCATCTTCCAGTAGCAGCCATTGTCTACTAGAATCAAGTTTGTAGTATTCCTGTGACTTCTTTTTTCCACATGGTCTGTAGACAGTTGAACAGTATATCAACAGCGCGCCTGCCTGCAAATATACATAATCAGTGAATTACATATTTTTGCGAAAATTTTAATATCAAATCATAATTTAGCTACTTATTTGAAATTCAAAACTTAAAGATTAGTGTTTGTAACTACAGTATGTGAATAAGATCTACCTACACTTTTAAAAGAGATATCAAATCTCCATACGAGATTCATAATCCCATTAATAACGCGTATAAATAACATAAAGGCAATTTTACAACCAAAACGACGATTATTGAGATTATTCTGGAATTTGTGCTTGTCATCGGTGCATATTGAGCTTCATAAATGGATGACCTACCCTCCGTAATAATCTTCAATTATTATTACATTCAGTAACAATCGAAAAATTGTGGAGATTATCGCTAACCCCAACAGAAGCTTTAACTTTACTTGCAATACATTGTATTGTGAAGAAACTCACGTTCCCCAAAGAGAGACCCGTAAGAAGTCCTGATAATGTACTGAATGCGCTGTTGTCTAATATAATTCCTCCGATTAAAGGACCTAAAAAACTTCTGAACAATAAAACAGAAATATTTTTCAACAAAGATTGAAACCAAATGATAAAAAATAACAATTTAAACAAAGGTATTGAAATAACAGTACTGAATTAAGAAAAGTTAGTATAATATACCAACAAAAATTCAACATCACTTAGCTTCAAAGTTACACATAAAGTTCCAAGTTTCAGTTGCAGTTACATTACGTTGTATTAAGTTATGTCCAAACAAGATGGTGCCAGTTTTTGAACATTCTGAAATATTCTTAAAAGCTTACAAAATATTCTGCCATTGCTGGGTAGTCGGCGACAACAACAACAACAAAAAATTCCAACTCTAAACCTGATACCAATATATATCTGAACCAAAAAATAAATAAATAAATAAATAAATAAATAAATAAAACTCACCCTAACCCAAGATGAGTCTCATATATTGCTATCAGATTCCCATACGTAGTCATATCATCCGGAAGACCTGATGCTCTGCAATGGTATGTGAACAATCTCAACAAACACAATGGCACGTGGGGGCTTCAACCAACATAACGAACCCGATGCACCTAACACGATGGTACATGTTTATGCTATTCGTAAAGGCACATCACACCTCGAACGTCTATTTTATGTCTTGTAAAACTTTATTAAAATGGCGGTTAATATGTTTACTGATGAAAGATGAAATGATGGAGTCCTCTACTCACATAGCATCTAATATGCGGTCCGCCAAAACTGCCACCTCAGTACATGCTTGGCCAATGCCTATGGTACAGGTTCCTAAGTAAATGCTCCAGGACGATCTTGAATACAGTAAAGTATAATATAACATTACCAAGTACCCCATGTTTGTTTACGCAGTGCGGGTTTATATTACTGTGCAGTAAGTGCTGGTTAATAACAGCCTGCAGTGAGTCATATGGCTCTGTAAAGATCAAAATATACCCCAATTATATTAGATGATTTGTAACTTTACTACTATGTTTCCACAACTCTGGCATGGAATCGAATTCTCAAAAAATTACAGGCCGCGCCAAAAACTGGTCTAAAGCAAAATTTGAATCTAATTTGACTCAAGATAAATCATATGCGGTCTAATTAAATGGAATATCTTGCCTTTTTTATAACCGGTAATGTATATGCCTTGTAAGATTTCTTACAAAAAAGGCTATATATCTATTTTGAGCCATATATGTCCCAGCGCTGTAGACCCTAGTGTACCTACCCCTCGCCGTTAGGGTAAAGACCGGTAAGTGGACCCCATGGCCCTACTAGGGTGAACCCCAATGCCTTCAAGACAAGCCCAAGGATTACCTGCGTCTTATTACGGTTCTGAAATGAAAGAGAAAGTTACCTGTACACAGCGTCACTTTTTATCCTTTGTAATAAATAATAAATGAATAAAAACACGTTCGGTTACTGGTATCACAATGTTATAGTTTTCAAAGGAAAAACGTTTGTGTTTTTCCAAAAGTTCCATTTACAAAGTATATTAATACTGTCTAAAACACAGGTACTTTGCTTGTCTAGGATCCTTCTATCGATTATATTTCTATGATCGCACCGTGAAATTACAGTTTTTGTCGTTAATATTGCAATGTAGCAATCACAAACATGTGGCTCGAAGTATTACAAACTCTTAGGCCAATATCGCCAAATCAACCAGGTAATTAACTGGGGACTTTTCAAGAAACAAGCCTCCGGGCCTAGGGTTAGCCTTCATATTGGGTGGATGTTCACCCGCCCCCCCCCCTTCGACCCCTCCTACTCACAAATCTGCCGGACAGCACACCGAACATAGGCACAGACAACGTGTACAGTAAACCTATCAGGGAAAAGGCCAGGCCAAACATAACGTGGTTGCCCTTCAGACTGGGGTCCACCTAAAATAAAAACCATATTTAAGTTAGTTTCAATTAGTCAGTTGTATTTTACTAAGTTCAATAAAAGGTTATCAAAGTAATCGGCAAAGTAGTGTCTTCAGCAGAACGGAGCATATTTGGAACGTAGTGTATAAATGAAGATAAAATGTTTGCCAGTAGAACTAGTGATATGTTGTTTGTAGCAATAGATTCGCCGATTTCTCAGATGTATATGGCTTGTATATAGTTTGTAAACAGAAAATAGATCAATTCATGACTTCTGTTGTGTTGTAGTATTAATAATTGACAGATACTGCCTTTGTGCCATTGGTCTAGGGATTGTATCCAGTTTTCTAAGTGTCATCGCCATCTTAAATATATGTTCAATATCTTACCTTCTGTAGCTGCATCCCAAGTGTTGGTGACAAAGACCCGATTCCCAAGTACGTTATGAAAACCGCTATGTACTCTAAGATAGCGGCAGGTTGCTTCAATACCTGGACTATCTGGCAATGCTGTGAAGACTTGTCTACAAATTAAGTACTGGGAATTATTGCCGTTTACGTTATTTAAACAATTTGGGAGCAGGGCAGTTTTCTGTATCGGACCATTTTGGCTGGCCCTGACATGTATAGCGCTACTAATTTTTTTACCCTTTTACAACCCACTGTGTACCCGCCCAAATTAATCCGGTGTAAATGCTTCCCTCTACCAGGGTGGCAAATATTATAGGCAAAATTTCCAAAAGCCACCCTGTAACTTTTGGCCAGATGAAAGCTATTATATCTGCACGCGCGCAGATGGCATTGTACCCGCTACTGCAGGAGATTCCTAAGTTAACTTCAATCTGAAGAAGAGGCTATTTTCATCTGTCACAAAAGATCAATTTATTAAGGTCAGAGCAATTAAATGTCTTGATTGCTGTCAAGGGACTTGGTTTGGTCTTGTAAAGTGGCAGTGCCTGAGCAGTTATGCAAACAATTACCAGCCATGTAATCATCCTTGAGATTTCATCACAGGGTGACAGAAACCAAATGACCGTGTTTATCTAAAGACATATCTGTGAATAACTTATGAAAAATTAATCTGTCGCCAAGGTAGAGGGTATTAAAATGCAGCGTCTAGCGGGAATGAGTGCTCTGTTAAGCCCCCGTCACACTTATTCGGAATCAGCAGGAATCAAGCAGAACCAGCCGGAATGACTAACTTTAAAAATTCGTACTACATTCGGGAGGAAATTTCAAATTGACCTAAGTTCTTGTAAGAATGCTGTTGGAATACTTAGAATGCGCTTGAATCCGCCTGGAATGATTCGTGCACATTTCGGCTGTATTAGCTCTCAAATGCAGCTCAAATGTAGTTGGAAAACTAGGAATATCAAAAATGCTGCCAAAATGCAGTCAAAATATTTAGAATACACTTCGAATGCAGTACGAGTGTAATAGGATCGAGATGCATTCGAGTTGCATTCTGGCTCACTCTAGCAGGATTTGAAGTGTCCTGCCATTTCGGTTCTCCCTCGAATGTGATCAGAATGTTTCGAATGCTGTCGGAACGCCGTGAGAATACTTAGAATGCAGTCATAGTTCAGTTAGAATACTATTCAAATGCCCTTCGATAATTATTCCACTAAGAATGCACTTCGAAAGTTTTTAACATGAGCAAAATATTCGGGCCGGCCACAAGAATGGGTAAAAATATTTGGAATGCACTCGGATTTTTTAGAAAGCTCTTCGAATATCCAGGAGCGCACAAAGAATTGTCTTTCCGACGGCATTCTTGCTCATTCCGCCGCTAGTGTGACGGGGGTATTAAGGTGGGTTTCATAGCAAACTGGAGCGGCACAGATAACTGTCATATATTTACGAATCTGGCAATTAATATAGATATATTTTATAAATTCCCATGTAGATTAACATTCTAGGAAATCGTCCAAAATACATACTTATTATCAGTTTCCTTTTATCACAGTAGTGTTTTCATCAAGGCCCAATAAACATTGCACATGTGTATAAATTGAATTATCTGAAATCTTTAATACGAATTATTTGTAACAAAATAAGTAATACATAAACCCACCAGCGTCGTCATCATCGGGAGCAAATGTGAAAAATATCCACAATCCTAAGATAACAGCTAATGGTCCAAACACAAGAAATGGTAGCCAAAACCCTCCGAGTCGATAGAGGCCGCCACCAGCTAAGGGTCCCAGAACCGATCCGAGTCCAAAAAACATATTTAGGAATCCCTTCGAAAAAATAAGACGTTTTTTTGCCAACAGCGGAGTTATTGATTTAATATGTATTTCTCGGCTAAACAGCAAACTCTTGCACGTGGAAACTGCTATTTTATCCGGCAAAATGCCGTTACTTAAAAGAAACATCAGCTAGGTTGGGCAAAGTGTATACATACGTTCCTAACCATATTACAATCTGATACATCCAATAAAAGCTAATTATATATAATACTCATAATTATAGCTTTTAAAAGTATTACCACATAGACTGTTATACTATAGAGATTCACCTGCACCGCTGTTTTACCTAGTGATTAGACTGAGGGGGTGTTTTCCCCCCTATCACAAGTTCACCACAACTAACAAGTTTGCCTTCTATTTACTGAAGAAGGATTGAAATTTATTAATATACCAGCCGAACGCGGTAGCCCTGTTTATCTCTCGCACTACATGAAACTAAGCTGTAAGTTTTAACTTTTTAAAATTAAATTGGTCGATTTCTGTAGCGGCTTGGTACAGCTATCCCTCTATGATATAACGCAAGTTGCGAGAAAGGTTTTGACTTACATACGCCGTGGCCACATCATTTCTAAACTCTCTGGTTATGATAGCGTAGTTTGCCGTCAGTGCCATAGCCGCTCCCAATGACTCCATTATACGAAACATCATTCCGAGGCGTAGAAACCATTCTCCAGACTGTAATTCTCCAAGAAGACTAAAGTGTAATTATAAATAAATAAATAAATAAATAAATAAATAAATAAATAAATAGTAAGGGAGGATGGACGGACGAGGTAACGTGACCCCCGTCTTTTGACGCAAAAGTGCAGGGATAATAATCATTAAAACAAATTAAAAATAAAAGCAATCAAGAAATAGATTTAAATTGTCTTATAAATTACTGAAAAGGTAGATCCAGGTAGGAGAAACATTGAAGCGAAAAGGATGATTCAAAACTAAACTCTTTCACCCCCTGGACTCATAGCATAGTAAAGTAAAAAGGATCTCGAATACTTATGTATATTTTTACCCCCTTTTCTAGGGTCAGCGTGCCTATTTCCTTTTCTCAATTTCATATTTTCTTTCACGGGTAACAGTTATTCTCCACGTACCTGAAGAGTAAAGAGCTGATGCCAAGTATTATGAGTCCTAAAACGTAGCATCTTCGGGTTCCTATCCTTGTTAACTGAAATATAAGTCACTGAGTCACCACAGATTTAACACCGGTATTGATGTAAGACGCATTATAGTTCTCCGTTTACGCAGTCTGTCATTATTCCACCCCCAATCTCCCCCAAGTCCTTCGAAATAAACAATCTTTCTAGATTCTTCGATAATTCGTGAGACTCAGATGACCCCCACGGATAATACATTATATCTCTATTTAAAAGCTTTAAGCGCCCCTCGTAACACTGACTTGTTATTGATAAGATATTGGGTTACATGTTTCTATCGCCATAAGTCAATTTCCTACCCAAAATGTTTCACTCTTTGACTACCGTAGTGGAAGACTATCGGATTGACGAGGGGATTGTTAATGCATATACCTTTATGTACTGTGAAATCTTAAGTATCTATTGTTCAGGAGAAACACCTGCACTTCACATATACATGTACACGGCCATAAATGCTGTCATTTATACAGTTGCTAGGAGACGTTAATTGGTATACCTGAGATCCAATGAGAAGAGAAACGCTGAACTTGGCAACGTCATAACATCCAAATATGGCCC